GCGCCACGAGGCCTTCCTCACCACCATGGAGGCCAACGATGACAAGATCAACACGCTGTTGCAGGTGGCCGACACTCTGGTCGAGAAGGATCACTTTGACGCGGACAAGATTGGCAAGCGGGCGGAGAATATCACCGGACGTCGGGATGACAACCGTCAGCGAGCTCTGGATCAGCACGAGAAGCTCAAGAACCAGGTGAAACTGCACGAGTTCCTGCAGGATCTGGAGGAGCTGGCCGAATGGGTGCAGGAGAAGTACGCCACCTCGCAGGATGAGTCGTACAGGAGCGCAAAGACCATCCACTCCAAGTGGACGCGCCACCAGGCCTTCGAGGCGGAGATTGCTGCCAACAAGGAGCGCCTGTTCGAGGCGGAGAAGTCCGCCCAAGAGCTGTCCAAGGAGAAGCCCGAGTTCAAGGATGTGATCGAGCCCAAGCTCAAGGAGCTGGCCAAGCAGTTCGATGACCTGGAGGTGCACACCAAGGAGAAGGGCGCCATGCTGTTTGACGCTAATCGCGAGGTGCTTGTCCAGCAGACCTGCGATGACATCGACTCCTACATTACCGATCTGGAGAAGCAGATTGTCAGCGGAGACACTGCCAACGATCTGACATCCGTGAACATCCTGATGCAGAAGCAGCAGGTCATCCAGACCCAGATGGCGGTCAAGGCCCGCCAAGTGGAGGAGATCGACAAGCAGACCGAATATCTGCAGAAGACGGTGCCCGAGGAGAAGATCGAACCGATTGTGGTGAAGAAGACGGCCGTGCTCGAGCGATTCGAGAAGATCAAGGCCCCGCTGCTGGAGCGTCAAAAGGCGCTGGAGAAGAAGAAGGAGGCCTTCCAGTTCTGCCGCGATGTCGAGGACGAGAAGCTCTGGATCGACGAGAAGCTGCCGGTGGCCAATTCGCCGGACTACGGCAACTCGCTCTTCAATGTGCATGTCCTCAAGAAGAAGAACCAGTCGCTGGCCACAGAGATCGACAACCACGAGCCGCGCATCAACGCCATCTGCAACAATGGCCGCAAGCTGATCGACGAGGGCCACGAGGATGCCAAGAAGTTCGAGGCGCTGATCAGCGATCTGACCCAGAAGTGGCAGGAGCTCAAGGATGCCATCGAGAACCGGCGGAAGCACCTGCTGGAGTCGGAGAAGGTGCAGCAGTATTTCTTCGACGCCCAAGAGGCGGAGTCCTGGATGAGCGAACAGGAGCTCTACATGATGGTCGAGGATCGCGGCAAGGATGAGATCAGTGCACAGAATCTGATGAAGAAGCACGAGAACCTGGAGCAGTCGGTGGAGGACTATGCCAACACCATTCGCCAGCTGGGCGAGGTGGCGCGCCAGTTCAGCGGGGATGACATCTCTTCGGGCGATGCCGTCGCCGTCAAGCAGTCGCAGCTGGACAAACTCTATGCCGGGCTCAAGGATCTGGCCGGCGAGAGGAGGGCCCGCCTCAACGAGGCCCTGCAGCTGTTCATGCTGAGCCGCGAGGTGGACGATCTGGAGCAATGGATCACCGACCGCGAGGTGGTGGCCGGTTCCCAGGAACTTGGCCAGGACTTTGACCACGTCACCCTGCTGTCGGAGCGCTTCAACGAGTTCGCCCGCGACACAGAGGCCGTGGGCGGCGAGCGAGTGGCCAAGGTGAACGGCATTGCCGACAATCTCATCCAGGCCGGGCACTCCGACTCCGCCACGATCGCCGAATGGAAGGACAACCTGAACGAATCGTGGCAGGACCTGCTGGAGCTAATCGAAACCCGCACCCAAATGCTGGCCGCTTCCCGGGAGCTGCACAAATTCTTCCACGACTGCAAGGATGTGTTGGGTCGCATCCTGGAGAAACAGCACGGCGTATCGGACGAACTCGGACGCGATGCCGGCTCTGTGTCGACGCTTCAGCGCAAGCACTACAACTTCCTGCAGGACCTCATCACCCTATACTCACAGGTCCAGCAGATCCAGGAGGAGTCGGCCAAGCTGCAGGACGCCTATGCCGGTGAGAAGGCCAAGGAGATAACCAATCGAGAACAGGAGGTGCTCCACGCCTGGGACAATCTGCAGACGATGTGCGGCGCCCGCAAACAGAAACTGGCCGATACGGGCGATCTGTTCCGCTTCTTCAACATGGTGCGCATCCTGATGATCTGGATGGAGGACCTCGTCCGCCAAATGAACACCTCGGAGAAGCCGCGCGACGTGTCCGGCGTGGAGCTGCTGATGAACAACCACCAGAGCCTCAAGGCCGAGATCGACACGCGGGAGGACAACTTCGGAGCGTGCATCTCGTTGGGCAAGGAGCTGCTCACCCGCAACCACTACGCCTCCGCGGACATCAAGGATCGCCTTATGTCGCTGAACAACAGCCGCAGTGCCCTGCTCCGCCGCTGGGAGGAGCGCTGGGAGAATCTCCAGCTGAGTGAGTACACTGAAATTCAATTTCAAATTGCCCCCCTTTGCTTAACACTGATCTCCCAATTGCCATTTGTGTAGTCCTGGAGGTGTACCAGTTCGCCAGAGATGCTGCCGTGGCCGAGGCCTGGCTGATTGCCCAGGAGCCCTACCTGCTCTCCTCAGAGCTGGGCCACACGATCGACGAGGTGGAGAACCTGATCAAGAAACACGAAGCCTTTGAAAAATCTGCCGCCGCCCAAGAGGAACGCTTCAGTGCTCTCGAGCGTTTGACAACAGTGAGTGTTTCGCATGGGAACGCATTTTACTTCTAACCTGTGCTAACCCCTATACCCCCTTCCAGTTTGAGCTTAAGGAAATGAAGAGGCGTCAGGAGCTGGCGGAGGAGGCTGAGCGACAACGCATCAAGGAGGAGCAGGAGGCCAAGGCCGCCTCCGAGGCGGCGGAACAGGCCAAACGAGAGGCTGAGCGGCGCGACGACGTGGACGTTGGAGCTTCGCACGATGATTCAGGTATGAAACATGATCTGCTTTGTGGGATACAAAGGATGGTTAAAAATACAGAAATATACGTCTATAGCATCAAAGTTTAAAAAAGATTTAGCTCTAGTTTATTTTTAATTAACAAGGTCATAAGATGTAAACGTATATTTCTATTAAAATATTTTTAACCACCCAATGTTTTGGTCCAGCCCTCCTCCGCATCCGCATCCAAATCCACATCCATATCCACATCCATCCCAGCCGCACTGTCAACGTCCCCGTCAAGATAGCACTCAAGATGCCGCTCCAAATCCCGTCTAACCACAAAAAGCCAATCCAATTTATCTCTAAACGTTCTCTGTCATTCACTCATGCTTACTAAACCAAACTCAAACCAAACTCACCCCGCCACGGATTAACCAACTAACCAATCAACTTAAACCCGTGAAGCCGCCAAAGACACGGCCGTCGAGTTCGAGCGCGTTGTCGAGATCCAAACAGGTATAAACGATCATTAGCTAGGCGCAGATCCATGGCACATGGCTCATGTGGTCCCATGAATGTTACTTATTCCGTTTGTGTTTATTTTTTATGTTTGGATCATCCCGGCCACAGAACTCAAAACTAATCATTTATTTGCTTGTTTCTCAGAGCGGGGAGCAACACCAGGCGCTGGCGAGGGTCACGAGGGCTATGTGACACGAAAGCACGAGTGGGACTCGACCACCAAGAAGGCCTCCAACCGATCTTGGGACAAGGTAAGATACACTTAGTCTGCCGATTTAATTGCTCTTAGGAATACCTCTCCTCTATATACATACGTACAGTGCGGTCAAAGTAATTATTGTGCAACAATGTAAAGTGTAAAGGAAAATACGTAAAAGGCACAAGACAATTTTCCTTTCAATTTATCATATTGCTTACTTAGCAACCAATAAGCAAAATGAGAATAAACCTTTAACTTTGGTTTAGTTTTTCAGGGAAAATGGAAAGTGTTAAAAATGCATATGCAATATTTAAGAAAATAACTTAATTTTGTCGTTCATCTGAACATTTGATAATTGATAATTCATAAATTAATTTAATTAATTAATTCAGCCTCATCATTTGAGATGGAATCGCCTATAGAAAGTTAAATAATTAATTCACTGTCTTCCTTTCTCAGGTATACATGGCTGCCCGGGCTGGACGCATTACGTTCTACAAAGATCAGAAGGGTTATAAGAGTAATCCCGAATTGACCTTCCGCGGTGAGCCCAGCTACGACCTGCAAAACGCTGCCATTGAAATTGCCAGTGATTACACCAAGAAGAAGCACGTGCTGCGAGTGAAGTGAGTACAAAACTAGTGATTTTATATAAAAATGTTACTCAGATACTTATCGAAAATATTTTCTACAACTTACAGGCTCGCCAACGGCGCCTTGTTCTTGCTGCAGGCCCATGACGACACCGAGATGTCCCAGTGGGTGACCTCCCTGAAAGCACAGTGCGATTCGACAGCGGTGGCCGCCAGCAGATCCCAGACTCTGCCCGCCACCTCACAAAAGGACGAACCAAAGCGCAGATCGTTTTTTACTTTAAAGAAAAAGTAAACTAACAGCCCCGCAACGCAACCATAAGCAAGAGCAGCTAATTAAAACAAAACAAAACAAAAAAAAAAGATGATGAGAAATGATAATACAAAACGACAAAAATTATACAGCAAAAATTAAGAAGAAGCAAATATATATTTTTTTTTCATATATTTAAACTTATTTCGTAATGAGAAAAAAACAAAAACCGACAAAAACTTGCAAAACGAGCAAAACGTAAACAATTATTATGCTTATCAAATTTGCACGATAAATACTGCTATTATGATTAAACGTATGTATCTTATTTATTTAAACAAATACAAAGTAATATAAAGATAAAAAAATACAAAAAACAAACAAAAAATTTGAGGAAACCAACTCGTGTATGCATTTCAATGTATTCGATAAATAAACGAAATATTCCTTTAAAGTACACCAATTGCTGACGAACTGCTTAATTACCACCGCCCTCGTTTTTCGCCAGATCAATTTGATGTGGGGGTTTTCCATTGCAGTTAGCTTGCTATACTTAACCAATTAAACATTTATTGAATATTTAGGCGAATATTTCATTTTTGTGAGGTACATTTTTGGGAGGAATTTTAGCCAGTGGCATCTATAGATTTTTATTCTTGGAGGATTTAAAATTAACCAGCAGATGGATCATCCGGTTGTATGGGATCTCGAAGAGCAGTGTTGCTACAATGGCCATTGCGTAACAGATCGCCGAACAGGATATCGTAAATAGGATCTAGAAGGAAAGTGGTCGATTAAATGGGGCAATAAGAGACTCATTTCCTACACTCTAAAGTATGTACATATGTTATTGATCAACATCACCTTGCGAGTCAATAAAGATATCAGTATTCAAGTATAATTAAACTCAGAATGAATCAAAATCGATCTACTGTTTAATATAAAGTTTATATACCCTCAATTCGAGCATTCCTATGCCAGCTATATGATATCGTTGTTCGATTCAAATAAAATGAAAAATTGAAATGAAATTTGGAATTAGTATACCAACTCGAAGTATATTACAAAAATTTAAAAACAGCTATGTTTTAATTTTATTTATATTTTAACTAACATTTCCGATCGTTCCAATGGGGACTATATGATAAAGTGATAAAGTTAAGATCATATTTCTAAAATATCTACAAATTACTTTATATCGGAGTATAAATATTTATTGAGAAACAACGTAGATAACATTTTATTTCCCTTTCTTTCCCGATTACTTTTATGGGAGCTATATGACTGCATGTTGATCTGTCCTGTTCCGACTTATATCAACAAAATTTCAACGCAGCGAAGGAGACATAACCGGGTCTCTTAAATATATATTCCTTATCAGCATTACTAGGAGAGCCGACCTCACCTTTTCCGTCTGTCCGTCCCTCACTTTTCAACGCAAACTAGTCTCTTATTATTAGAGCTATATAAAGAAACCTTTCCGAATGTCTTATTTCTATTGCAGGTAGTACGAGCTGGATCGAACGACTATATTATACCATTCAAATAAATGGTACAAAATTTGCATTTCGTTTTTCTTTTTTAATTTAGTGATGGGTTTTCTATTTATAACACGTTTTTAGTTATATAAAAATCGGACAACAAACAAATTCAAAGGAAAATTGACGAAGATTCGCTGTTTTTAAACATATACGATTAAAAATCAAAATATAGGTTAAACAATATTTAATAGCTGCAAGGGTATGTACATAAACTTTGGCTTGTCAAATTTTATTTTCTTTTCTTTTTTTATACCCTTGCAGAGGGTATTATATAGTATATAGTCATAACCGACCCCCTAAGGTATGACTATATCAAATATGTAGCTCCCATAGGAACAATCTGGTAAAAAAATGAAAAAAAATTATAACTTTGCTGTTTTTAATTTTTGTATAGTTTTTTTACATTTAGTAATGGTTTGTTACATTGGAATTACGGTTTAAATTTGATCAAAATCGGACGACTATATCACAAAGCTCCCATGAAAACAATCGGAAAATTAAAAAAAAAGGAAACAAAATTTAAATTTCTCTAATTTTAAATTTTATTCTGTTTAAAATAAAAATTCACAACTATGCTTTAAATTTTATTTAAATCGGTAAACGATATCATATAGCTGCCATAGAAACGATTTAATAATTGAAGTTAAAATTATCATAGCTTCAATGGTTTTAACGGGTACTCATATATTTCAAAGTTTAGATGTTTAATTTTTCCAATAGCTGCAAGGGTATATAAACTTCGGCTTGCCCACGTTTGCTCACTTTCTTGTTTAATTTTTGTTTACAAACACATTATGTATTTAAACCATCTTTGCTTTATATGCATATTAATAAAACTTGAAAACAAATGTAATTATCGGTCTCTGGCAATAACAAGATCTTATGTTAGCTCAAATCAAACAAGAAAGAAAGCAAACTTCGGCAAGCCGAAGTTCATATACCCTTGCAGCTATTGCATGAATCAAATACTTTTGAAAACATTTAAATTATGATTTACTTGAGTATATGCTGAAAAACATTGAAACTATGATGATTTGCAGCTCAATTATTAGATAGTTATTTTATATTTTTTTAATATTTCTATGGGAGCTATATGCTATAGACGTCCGATTTTGATAAAATTTAAACCATAATTCTGAAATAATTAAACATTGCTATATGTCGAAGAACTAAACAAAAAATTAAAAAACAGAAAAGTTATAATTGTTTTTCATTTATTTTTCCGATTGTTCCTATGGGGACTATATGCTATAGTCGTCCGATTTTGATGAAATTTAAAACATAATTCTGAAATATTTAACCATTACTATATCTCGAAGAACTAAACAAAAAATTAAAAAACAGCAAAGTTATAATTTTTTTTCATTTATTTTTCCGATTTTTCCTATGGGAGCTATATGCTATAGTCGACCGATTTTGATGAAATTTAAACCGTAAATCGGAAATATTTAACCATTACTATATGTCGAAGAACTAAACAAAAAATTAAAAAACAGCAAAGTTATATTCATTCATTCATTCATTCATTTATTTTTCCGATTGTTCCTATGGGAGCTATATGCTATAGTCGTCCGATCCGGCTCGTTCCGACTTATATACTACCTGCAATAGAAAGACAACTTTTGGGAAAGTTTCATGCAGATAGCTTTAAAACTGAGAGACTAGTTTGCATATAAACGGACGGACAGACGGACAGACGGACGGACAGACGGACGGACAGACGGACGGACAGACGGACATGGCTAGATCGACTCTACTAGTGATGCTGATCAAGAATATATATACTTTATAGGGTCGGAAACGTCTCCTTCACTGCGTTGCAAACTTCTGACTGAAATTATAATACCCTCTGCAAGGGTATAAAAATTATATGTATGTGAGAAAAAAAAAACAGTTTTTACCCAAGTGTTATCCGATTATTCCCGTTTTTAGATGTGGAGATCTTTTTTAATTAGCTGCGACGTAAGTGAAAGTTTCTTTTTTATCGAAATATGATATATTAAAATCTTACCATCATGGTGTTGTCCGGTTTCACATTGTTGCTGAAGGAGTGGTAAAAGTAGATGATGACAATGGGATTCAGCAGGTAGATGGCGTAGGTGAACCGGCTGATGCGCTGCACTTGCTCCGATTGCAGGATCGCCAGGAGCCAGCGGGTGGGAGCATAGGACTCGCTGCTGTCCGACTTGGTGCCACAGAGGATAAGATGACCGGCCAGCGTAGTCACTAGCACCCGCAGGACGACCATGAAGGTGTAGATAACACTGGTGGCCGGCAACTGATCCATTGTCACCTGTTTCACAAACCAGCCAATCGCTCCAACGGCTCCCATCCTGACCCAGAGATTGGGCATCAGCAGGTCGAAGGGTAAGGCCACACCCTTGACATGGGTGTAGGCATACCAGCCACCCACTATGTAGGCCAGCATGCGGATGACGGGACTCATGTAGGACCACTCGTTGGTGTGGTACAGCTCATCGAAATTGGCGCCCACCTCTCTGACCTGCATTTTCACAATCGACTCCACGGCGCTGACAAGCATCAGCGTCTGGGTGATCCATCTGACCGCCCTTGGGTGCTTGGTGTGGCCAAAGAGCAGCAGCATGGCCAGCATGTGGAGCTGCATGTCGCAGCCCAGCGACCAGGTCCACGATCCGCACATCTCCTTAATCGGATACAGATTCTGGATGAATAAAAGGTTGCGTATGGAGTTTCGCCGGCAGAGTTCGTCCTGCGGATCGCTTATGTGCAGCACAGACACCTGCCGCTGGTATTCCGTCATGACCACATCCGCCAGTACAACCACAAATTGCAGCGGAGCTAGTCGGCAGTAGCGGTGTATAAACTGTCCCAGGTAGCGACGCCCATTACCCCAGAATCCATCGGCGGCGATTTCCTGCTGCAGTTTCTCGTCCTTCAGGAAATTCAAGACTGTCAAGTAGCCACTGCGATCGTAAAGATATTTAACGGGGTGGAAAGGTTAATTCGTGTATAAAATTTAAATTTTTAGAAAATTTGTTACAGAAATCCATTAATAACAAGCAGGGAAGCCAACTTCTTCGGAAAGCCAAAGCTTATGCGCCATTCCAGATATTAGACAAATTAAATATTCTTTAAAACAACTATATTTCGATTTTTATGCCTATATGAGTTGAAAACTATGAAAACACTGAAATTATGATGATTATCCGCTGAGTTATTCGATCGTTCCTAAGGCAGCTACATAATATCGTTTTCCAATTTAAATAAAGTCCATACAAAATTAAAAATAAAGAAGCTTAAATGTGTTTTTCATTCTGAACGACTAAAGCTATGGATACGTGCTATATATCTTTAAAAAGGTATTTTGAAGGGCTATTTACGTTTCCTAAAGAAAAATAATTACGGAATTATAGCCAAAATAAGGTTTTCGTGTTCGCATTTTAACGATTTTTTGAAAACACCAGTATAGATATCTTTTTATTTTTGAGTCTTTATAATTGATTTATAACACATTTTTCTCTAAAAATTTGCTTTTGGGAGTTATTTAGCGTTTAAAAATGCAACCCTTTTATATCTATTTAATTAATTTTCTCAATTCTTTGTCGAAAATTATATTATGTTGGAAATATTTTCCTATGAAGGTATGAAGGTATACAAATATAAGACCATTTTTAAGAATGCTATTTATACAGGTACGATGAGTTTTAAATATTACGCATAACCAATAAAATTTTCAGAGAAACTACACTGTTGTTATTGTTTCCAAAAAGATGAGTATATTACCACGAAAGTATAAAAAAAACTTGTGTTTTAAAAATAAGTCCTTTAAACTGTTCGGTTTAGAAATGAAAGTAAAAGGTATAGGAGCTATATTATATACTTAATACTATCTGAAGATCATTTTCAAGCCACACAAACGTTTAGTTTTTTTGCGAGATTATATTTTTTAAAGTTGCAAGTGGGATTTTAACATGCCTATATAAACCTAAAAGAAAGCGGCCTGAAATATCAATCCGTTTTCATCTTAAGACCTGACAAATGGATTAGCAATTAGGTATCCTCACCTGACCACGAAAAAGATCTCCACCATGCTGGGCCAATAAGTGTGCCGCATAGTCATCGACACGATCTTGTCGAGCATCTCGACCGAGGAGTCCACGGTGAAGTACTTGTACCAGACCACATGCACGCCAATTAAGGAGAATGCGGTGAATACCCTCAGCCCGTTGATGGCTGTGTTCTCCTGGCCGGGATTTACTGGCTTCCATGCCAGCTTCCAGTTGCTAGCCAGATCGAAGCATCCCAAAATGCGGGAGTACTGGGCCAGACCACTGGAGGCTAGAAGGGTAAGCAGAAGGGTTCCGCCCACCACTGAAAAGAACATTTGCACAGCACCACTTTGGAAAAAATGGGGCCCAAATTTTGGTTTTTTGACATAAGCCAATTTGGCATCCATATCCCAGCACCGAAAGGACTTTCCCGAGTCCAGCGACCTTCGGATGAGTTGCTCGACCTCCCCGATGCCACAGCTCCTGGGCAGACAGAGGCCAATGTGCAACAGGGGATTCTGCCTGATGGACACCTGCAGCTGCCACGGCGAGTTGGACTCAATATAGGCCACCGCGTAGTCGAAGGCAATGGGCGACACATCGCGCAACAGGCGCGGATTTTTGTCGGCGTCCATGATATAATGGGGCAATGGCTCGTTGACGGCGCGGCAGGTAAATCGGTTGCCCAGCCAGGTGCTTTGTCCCATCATAAAGTTAGAGAAGCCCTCGCCGGAGGCATCCACAGCTAATGCGGGCAAATAAAAATTCAAAATCGTTATTTTGAAATGCTTACCTAGACAAATTAAACAAAACATGGAAGGAAGCAGCTATTGCTAAAATTAAATAGTCTGGAACACACTTAAATTTCGATTTATATGGGTATATGATTTTCAACTCCATTATTCGATCAATCCTATGGCAGTTATTAATATCGTTTTTTATTTGATTATTCCTTTGGTAGCTATATGATAAAGTCGTTCCATTATTATGAAATTTAAGCTGTAGTTCTATATCTCGATGAACTAAAAAATTAAAAAACTGCAAAGCTATAATTAGTATCATTTATTTTTATGCTATATTCGTCCGATCCGGCTCGTTCCGACTTATATACTACCTGCAATAGAAAGACAACTTTTGGGAAAGTTTTATACAGATAGAATTAAAATTGAGAGACTAGTTTGCATAGATTCAGACGGACAGACGAACATGGCTAGATCGATTTGCCTGGTGATGCTGATTTAGGATATATAAACTTTATAGGGTCGGAAATGTGTCGGTCACTGCGTTGAAACCTTTTTGACTGAAATTAAAAAATACCCTCTGCAAGAGTATAACAATAAAAAAGAACGAAAAACAATGAAGTCGATTTTGCGATTAATTTTTCTATCGATCCCTTTGGCAGCCCTATGATAACGTTCTCCGATTTTTAACCAATTAAATAGTAGCTCTTAAGTAAAAAGCCATTACTATGCCTTGAAGTATATTCATATAAATTAAGTAACAGCGAAGTTATAATTTGTTATATTTTTCGACGGATCCTGGAAAAGCAAAATGATAAAGTCGTCTAAAATATTAATCTACTACTATAACTACAAATTGAAACAAAGCGAAGTTTTAATTTTGTTTAATGTATTTTTCGGATTTTTTTTTTGGGATTCATATGACACAGTCGTCCGATCCGGGTCGTTTCAACTTATATATATACCACCTGCAACAGGAAGACAACTGGTTTGCGTAGAAACGGACAGACAGACAAGAACTTTTGACTGAAATTATAATACCTTCTGCATATACCATACACATCCAGACTCACCCTTTGCCGCCCAGGCCTGCCGATCCAGCCAGGCTTTTCCCAGTTCCACCAGCTGCTCCTCGCACTTGGACAGAGTGGTGTTTTGATTTCGGGGAACCATCTCCACCAGGTCCATAAGCAGGGATTGTGATTCACATTTTTCGCCAAGGCCGAGCACAGCGATTATTTGAACCAGGAGCAAAACAACGAGCATGATATCGATCGGTGAATTTGGCAGAACACCTCAGTTCTCAACGACAGACGTCGCACAACTAGTTCGCAGTTCTGGGATGCAGCAAAGTCTAAGCAACCCGCATAACCCCGCTTTTTAGAGCCCAAATGATCCATGACGCTCTTTAAGATCCGAGCAATGGTTTTATGGTCAGACTTGCGCTTGTTTTGTAGCTAGCGCGTTTGCCAAGATGTTTGACTTCTCGACTGTGGTTTACCCGGTACAGCGGCAAATATTACTCAAAGACTGCAAAAACACTCAGTACTCGGAATAAGTTAGAAAAGGTCTAGGATGGATTGAATCAAACCACAATCTACCATAAGAAAGTTGAAATGGTGAGACTGTGACTTATAGATTGATTCTGTCTTTATGGTCTGATAAAAATTGGAAGAGTACAAATAAATATGTGACTACTGAATCCAAATTAGTCTATTTCATATATAATTTGATTAAGAAAATATTGGATTTGAAATGGGTAAGACTTGTTGTAAAAACACTTTGCTAATGTTTAATATGGCTTGCGTTTAAATAACATTTTCAGATATTAAAATTGAATACTCCCATCAAATCAAAGCGAAAAATATTTATGTTGAGTATAAAATACCTGTATTCTTGTACTACCTTTTTTTACCAGTGTTATTGAAAATAAATATAGTTCTGCTTTGTATTCCACTGATATTAATACACCTTACCGACTAATAAACTTTTAAAGCGGTTGACCATTATTAAAACGATTCACCTGTGCTATGATCCTATTACTTTGTATCAATAATTTATTTGTCGTAATATTTTGATGGGCTGAGAAAAGTCAATATTATTTCTGAAGATCCCAGTATTTACAGAACAATATAAAATTTGTTTAAGTGAGTGAATGAACTGAGAAGAACGTGCTTTGTCCGTTGTGGACTTCGTAACGGTTTAAAATGCGAAGCCAATATTCAATTTGTTTAATGCAGGGGTGCTCAAAACTTCCTTATGACATATGCATTTACCAACAAAATTAAAAAAAACACTCGCACACAAGTAACAAAGTAACAAAGTCAGTGTAGAGTCAATAAAAAACAAAAACAATTTGGCGATTAAAAAGGCCCATTGAAATTATTGTAGCCTTGGCTCGGTCTTGTATTAAATAAATAAATTCCTTGGATTCATGGGTTTTTTCCACTGTTATTAATAAACTTTTTAAACGGTTGGCCATTATTAAAACGGTTCACCTGTTCTATGATTCTCTAACTTTGTATCAATTATTTATTTGTCGTAATATTTTGATTTGTCGTAATATTGATAGTGTATAGCTAATTGTGCCCTGTGGAGCAGCCCTGGTTTAAAGTAAAAACCCGATATTGTCACATCAACTAAGCCCAAGATGTTGTTTATTTTGGCACTTTATTTTAATTTTAATTGCAATTTGTTTAAAAATCAAAATTGTACAATAATATCGAATTAATATTAGTTATTTTTAGTTTATCCATTTTACGGCATCTATACAACAAACGTTAATATAAGTAGTTAAAAAAAAAAACAAAAAGATAAAATAGGTAATGTAATTAGACGTAGGCATTATGGTATTATCAAATTATGATTGGAAGAGGCGTGGCGGGCAGTGGGAGTGGCTCCCACGTTACATATATATTTTGTTCATTTATTTTTCGATTTTCATTTAACATTAATTGCATATTTCGATATCCGTTTACCATCAACTTTATAGCTTTTTTTTACCCATTTAAGATTCAATTGGTTGATTGGCCTTTGATTTTTATTTGCTGCTTGTCAAATGAAACTAAAGCCCAAGGCCGAGCATTTGTTAGCAAATAGTTAGGGATTAGGGATCCTGGCAGGGATATGTATAGTCGTACTTTCCCAATGCGAGCGAACTCTAGAAAATAATTCACAACAGTGTGTAAACAAAACATAAAATTATAAAATAAAAAATTCCGGTTCCAGAAGATTGCTTTCGAGTGTAAGTATACAGTTGCGGTCAAAATAATAGTAGTGAAAAAATATAGCCCTTTATATTAAGTAAAAATACTTTTAAGGCTTAGTATAATTTCATAAACAAAATGAGATAAAAAATTCAAGAAAATTATTTTTTTTTAAAATTCCGAAGAATTTGCTTTTAAATGAACAATAGTAAAGTATTTTAGAAATCCCTAAGAAAACAACTTAAAATCCTCTTTCTCTTAATAAACGCTTTCTTCCAATCAAAAGTTTTACTTTCTTTAAATGCGGTTTCGTTTTAACATAATTTCTCAAAAATGAAAAAAAGGTGTTCAAAAGTTGCTTAATTTGCCTTTTCCACAAGCTAAAAAGTTAATATTATTTTGATCGCAGCTGTATATAGTTCGACTTGGGTAAATAACATATTATATGGGAAATTCGACATCGGTTTTAAATTATAGGATCATTTCGGAAGGATGGCAGATCACTTGCGATGGCTGCCGCCGGCGGTGCGCAGCTCAATGATGGTGGCTCCCGAACCACGACGCAAGTTCTGCTGCTGGTGGCCCTGGATATGGTGGTGGTGCTGCTGTTGGTGGTGGTGGTGGAGGCTCTGCTGATGATCCACCTCGCTGCTGCGCCGCACGATGCTGGCCGTGTCCTTGTTGAGCTCCACGGACGGCGGCGAACGCGAGTCCAGCGAATACTTGGCCTGCAGCGGATACTTTCTCGATCCGTAATCCTCGTCGCCATGGATCACACGGTACAGATCTGGGGCCTGCTGGTGAAGACCCCGCAGATACAGCTGCTTCTTGTCCTGCTCCGGGTAGTTGCCCTCATCCTCCTCGTTGCCAGCGATCTTGGTCAGATCCTTCTGGCTGCGACTGATCAGGTTCACAATCGATGGACTCTTCAAGCCGCTCTTCAGCGAGTTGTCCTTGCCGGAGAAGAGGTGTGGGTTGGACTTGTAGTTGGCGTTGGGTCCCTGGCCCAACCCATACCCGAAGTTCGGCTCCTGCCGCGGCTGATAGTTGTTGCGGGTCAGCTTCTCGATGTAGATGGGACTAGGATCGTTGCTGCCATTCATGCCGTGCACATTGAAGCTCTTGCTGCGATTGAGGACCTTTGCATAGGTGCGAGCTGGTTTCGCCGGTCCCTGCGTTTGTATCTGGCTTGGGTTTGGGTTTTGGTTAGGATTCTGATTCTGATTCTGGGTCTGGGAAAGCCCCCTTGGCTGCTGTTGTTGTCCAGGGGCTGAAAGGTAGCTGCCCCTGCCCGGAGCCGGCTGCTTCTCCATGGCGTTACCGAATCTCTGGGTGCGCTGCTCGTGCAATTTGCGCGGCAGCGTCTGGGCTGAGCGGTAATCCTGCTGCTGCTGGTGCAGATTGGGCGTGGACCCACTGAATCGCTGGCCATGCTTCTGGTAGCGACCTAACGTGTGGGAAGAGGTCACCGGCGGCGGAGCCCTCGACTCGTAGTAGTCATCCTCCCGTTCCAGCCGCTCCAATCGCTCCATTCGCTCATCCGGGCGATTCAAGTTATTGCTAAAATTTAAATATTATTATTAATTATGCAATATTATTGTAATTATATTAATATTTCTAATAATTAATTTCAATACTGCTTGGCAGCGTTTTGAAATTGGACCTTAATGTTGGGAAAATACCCACTTTGATCAGTTTTGAAAAAATCTTTGAAACTTTTTGGTAAGAAATATATGTATTCATTAGTCAAATAGTTGCACTTGTCCAAGTGTTTAAAAATTTGAAACAAACAAAACCACTCGCATGTTATTGAATGTACAAAATTATAATTATCGAAAGTTTTTAAGCATTGAGTTCGATTTCGTGACCAGATTCGGAATCTCTTAAAAAAAAAGGCTACACTTGTTAAACAAGGTTAAAAACGGAATATTCGTATATCAAAGTTATGTAGTTTTTCCTTACCGCTGACGTGGGCGCCGTTCGTAGAGGTTCTCCTTGCCGTAGAGTGTGCTGGAGTAGGGATCTTCGCCCAGGTAGTACCTTTGCCTTGGACTTATGGCCTGCTCCAGGTGCTGCAGCTGTGGGTCAGCGGACTCGGCGCGCTTGAAATTCTGCCGGGATGGCGTCTCCTGTTTGGGAGGATCGCGATCTCGTTCCCGTTCCCTTTCGCGCTCCCTCTCCCTCTCCCGCTCCCTCTCCCTTCGCCGCTGATTGTCGCTGGTGGAGTCCTCAGAATCGTGGCTACCTATGTGCCCATCGATCACATTGTATTGCTGGTAGGTGGTCACCGGCGGACCCAATCCTCGGGGATCATGTCCTGGACTGGGCGATTGTTCGCGCGACTTGCTGGCCGCCGATTTCATGCGGAACTTGCGCTCCGCACTGGCCGACCGGATTTTGCTGACCAGTTTCCGCAGCGAATTGCCAATGACCTGGCCCATGCGGCTTGACTTGGAGGTACTGCCTCCTCCTCCTCCTCCTCCGCCGACGCCACCGCTCATGGCCGAGAGATTCGAGGTGGAGGCGGAGGTGGCTCCCTGTGGCCGGAGATTACCAGCTCCTCCAGTTGCCGGCGGATAGCTGGACGTGGGTGCGAATCGCGTGCGCTGCTGCTGCTTTCGGCTCAGAGTCATCGTGCTGGCAGGCACCTCTCTACAGGGAGTATAGTTATTATTTATCAGTAAAACATATTGTGCTATTGGCAATTCTTTACATTTACTGAACTAATAATAGTCTTGCAGATTTGTGGTCAATATATAATACTAAATGTATAACTTCCCGCTTTTCCTATGTCTGCTTTATACACTGGTGAGTATAATAATAGGTACACTTTTTACTTTTCTATATGAACTCCTTGTAGGACCTATGTTTTTAGTTGGATGAAAAACCGCCGTATAGCTGAGATTTTTTCCAAGTCGTGAGCTGAGCACATATTTTGCTTAATATTATGGAAATAACTTATAAGTTAGTGGCTTTTTTGAAATTATATTTAAGTTTATTAAAGCTTCTTCCAAAATTAAGATTTTATTTAGAAAAATGGATTGAATGGTCGATTGACGCCTAGCCAAAACTAAAAAAAACTTTAAAAAATGTAACGAAAAAAATTTTAAAATTTTTTAAAAACAATAAGAAGCAAACAAATTAAGGAACCCCGAGAAAGTTCGCCACAAAAAAGCAAACTAACTGATTTAAAAATGTTGTCTCACACAAAAAGTACACCCTTAAGGCATCAAAAAGCTTTACCACCATAAATGGGGAAATAAGTTAGTGTTTATAACAATAATAAATAATCATAATATTAAATTTCAAAAAGTCTTGCCACGAAGAAGCGGAGAATTTGGAGAATAAATTTTTTGTAGCAACGAAACTAAATACATTTTATCAAAAAACAATGTTGTTGACCTTTAAAAAACGTCCAGTTCGGAGAAGTGTTTGCATTTCAGTTCAAAAACAACGGGGTTCAGATTCTGTTTCAATACAAGCTTCGGTTTCATTGAGTGGTAAGTGGTTTCTATGTGCTTCATTTCTTAATTTCAACAAAAATATTTTTTTAGACGGTTAAAATAAAATTATTGTTTCCTTTCAAACTAAACCTGTGTACTAAGAAAGGAACTTTCGTTCGATTTGTTAAGAACTCGGAAAAAGGAGCATTTCGATGAGCACTTTATCCAAATCGAGTGACTTAGACTGCAGAGCATCCCGACTAATTGGTTACTAAGTTAAATTTCTCTGGTTCCTACGTCGCCCCATTACTCGTATATCGAACACATCTGTGCTGTCCCATTGGGACATTGCCCACCTGGTCATCAGGTAATCCACCTGCGGCGAGGACGACCGACTGCGACTCCTGGGCGGCGGCGAGTAGTCCGGCGGTGGCTCCAGATGGCTAACCTGCGAGGGCAGCGGAGCCTGCGACTTGACCACTGGCAGATGAGCGGTGTGCAACGGGTGCGACGTATGGCTGTGCTCGCCCAGCTTCTTTTCGATGGCACGTCGTCGTTGCGGAACGGTGGGTCGCGGATTGAGACCCAGCTGGCTGCCACTGCCGCCGCTGTTCCCGCCAAACTCCAGTGCGGACATTGCCGCCGGCGGAGGAGGAGCAGGCGACTCATAGCTCTTGCCCCGGCCATTCACCAGAACGGGTGCAGCTCCATTCGCCGCATGGCCATTCATATTGCTGCCGGTTCCAGTGTTGCCGCCCAAATGACCGTAGGCCACTCGCTTGTGCGAGGGCTCTTCGGCCCGGGCTGGTCCTGGTCCTTGTCCTGGTCCTGGTCCTAGCCCTGGTCCCGGTATGGCCTCCAGGTCGTCCAGAGTGTCGCGAGAGCCCCGCGTCGAACGGGCCAAGAACTGCGAGGATAAGCTCTGACGCTTCTGCTGCAGAATATCCTCACGGCTGACATAGCTATCCTTGGGCTGACCCGTGGTGTCCGGGGCCAGGCCAGATCCCTGGCTGGAGCTGACCTTTTTTTTGAGGCTATTCCGCCGGATGGTCTCCTGCAGGTCTTCGCGAAAGGCTTGCGATGAGAAGTGGTTGACCGGAGGACCGGGATCCTTGCGTTCCGACCAGTTCGATATGCCCTGGAAGTACTTGGAGCGCCCTGCTGCCGAATTGGACTGTTGCTTCCGTTCCAGAGTGGCGGATGTTGTCATGGTCAGAGGATGACGATCTCTTTCCCGCTCGCGCTCCCTTTCCCTCTCCCTCTCCCTTTCCCTCTCGCGCTCAGCGCTTCTGGGCAGAGTTTGGGGATGATGGGCATGCGTGTGCTGCGGGTGCGGATGCTGCTGGGTGGCCAGGTGCGATTGGGCATGGATGTGCGCCTGCGGTTGGCTCTGCGACTTGATCGTCACATTGAAGTAGCTCTTTTTGGTGGGCTCCACCTCCGCATCGGCCTCGTCATCGCGGGAGTCGTTGGAGGCGGTGGATTCGCTGCCAAAGTGTGACTCCAGCCACTTCATCGTCTCGCCCTTGCGCGTCTCCTCCTCGCGATCAAAGTCCAGCGGACGCTTGGTGAGCGCATCCTTGCGATCCGCCAGGAGGGCCACCTCTGCAATTATAAAACGACACTAGGATTAGTTTTACACAAAGTTATGGCAACATGTGTTACCCTTGCAGAGAATTATGGTATAATATGTATGCATTTTTCTGATCAGCATCACCATCAGTATGGAGCTTTTGGAATATTCAAAGACAATAGCTTACTTTAAGCCACGGAATATGAATGGAAAACTCAATCAAACGAATCTGTCATATTTTACATTTGAAAATCGGTTAAAAATACTCCCTCCAGAAATAAAAAAGTTTTACCTAAATCAATCTTAACTGTAGTCTATCTGCCCATGAAACGATCACTTAATTAACATTTATGGAAAAAGCCTGTTTTTATACACTTTTAAATTTCAGTGAAAAGTTTGCAACGCAGTGAAGTAGACATTTCGGACCCTATAAAGAATAATATTCTTGATCAGCATCTATCCATATTTTTCCGTCCGTCCTTTTTTCCGAAAAGTATTATCTCAGTTTTAAAGCTATCTGCACGCAACTTTCCCAAACTTTATATTCCTATTGGTAAGGTAAGGATCGATTCCGATCGGACGACTATATAGCTCCCATTGGAACAATTGGGAAAAAAAGAAAACATTATAACCTTTTTGTTTTTAAATTGTTATGTTTTTATATATTATTATTATTTTAGAATTACGGTTTATATTTCATTAAAATTGGACGACTATATCACATAGCTCCCATAAAAACAATAAGAATATATAGCTTAGCTGTTTTTTAATTTTTGTTAGGTCTTTATATATTATTATGATTTTAGAATTACGGTTTAAATTTAATTAAAATCGGACGACCATAAGGGTATAGCAATGATACTTGTTTGTTGAGCTGTGAATATCCATTGATAGTTTTATGCATTTTTATCTATGTGGAACAATGAGTAGTAAACTTAAGGGTTTTTTGAGGTGGACTCACCCTTCTGTTGCTGCTGCTGGGAGCGGCGCAGCTTGCGCATCCGGTCGGAGAGACTGTCCCAGTCGCCCGGACGCTCCAGGTCGGCGGGCCCGTCCTTGTCCATTTGCGTGGTCTCGGCGGCGTAGCGCATCTCGGTGGAGTGGAGCCGGCCGTTGGCTAGCACGTCCACATGCTGCTCGTCCCGCTGCCGGAAAAAGCGCTGGTTGGCCGCCGTGGTGGTCACCTGCTCGCCCACCTGAAGCTGCAGGCCGCGGTCATCGGAAGTGGCGGCGGGGGGATCGGGGAGCTCGTCGTCGACGATCAGCTCGTGCTCGGTGGTGCGTCGGCTCTCGGTGACCAGGGTGCCGTCCTCCTGGGCCAGACAGCGCTTCTGCGTGTCCTCCGAGTCGATCGTCTTGCGGGACTTGCTTCTGTTGGCCACCACCTGCGGCCCGAGCGGCACCAATTGGCGCTGGCTCTCCGGCGAACAGAGCACGGCCTCGAGGTTCTCAACTCCGTCGCGCACTGCGTTCACGTAGGTCTACAAAAGGGTTTCGATTATAAATAAATTATATAGAAGATTTAATACCCTTGCAGACAAAGGAAGTTTTCGAAATTTTAAAAAACTATCATACAGGCAACAAAAATGAGTTAATTTAACCCGATCATTTCAATCGCAGCTATAGTATATCAAACAAAAACACCTCTTAACGAGGTGTTCAAAAAAACACAGAAATGCACTTTTTAAATGTTTTCAATTCTGCGGCTGTATATAGTAGTCTCCAACCACCAAGCTATTGGTGCGTATCGTCACTACATGAACAGCCGTCCATAGTGATAGTCGCCCGCCCGATCGACAAGATATTTTAACATAATCAGTGTTTCAAGAATCTTTGCTGATCTAAAATATTATATTTAAACTTTATAATGTCTCCTTTACAATACCCTCTGCAGAATCCATAATACAGGATATTGAAAAGAGGGTGATTGGAATGCCTGAAATTTAAAAATGTTCTTATTTTTAAGTTTAAAATATACTTATTTTTAACTCTGTCAAACTTAAACGACACAAAAGACAAAATTTCAATATATAAAATCAAGCCGGCAATGCGGTTTTTTTTATTAAATTAATTTTTTTAATTAAAAGATTGTCAAAACTCAAAATTAACAAAACAAAAATTAAATTAAAAAAAACGTAAAAAATAAACCAAACAAAATAAAACTGAAAACAAAATTAAATAAAATGAATAAAAAAGAACATAAGCATTAAAAACAAAAAACAGCAACAACGATATCACGCTTTAAAACGTTCGAAAATTTTGTTGGTAAATCAACATACTCTAACTTCATTGCGTATACGCATATACGTTTAGAAATAGTTTAGTTTAGTCGGTTGTTAAGATTTCTCGCGAACTACTCAACCGATCTTAATAAAATGTCTGTCAAAAATCCAATTTTCAATTTTTTTTTCGTCCTATACTATCTTTAACGTTTTAACTAAAACACACACTTTTTATTTTTTACTTCTGATAATCCTGCAAGAAGTTCTGCTGTCAACGCAAAGAGACCTTTTTTTAAAAGGGACTGCCGGAAATTACGCCGAAATAGCCGAGTTTTAAATATGTTACTTCTTAAATTTCACAAAATCATTATTGAATATGAATCTTGAACATGAAAAAAAATTTAAATATATTTTTTTATTTTTATATGAAGAAAAATTATTAACAAGAAAGGAAGCAAACTTCGGCAAGCCGAAGTTCATATACCCAAAAATTAAATATTATTAAAAACATTTAAACTGTGATTTACTTGCGTGTGTGTTTAAAAACATTAAAGCTATGATGACTTGCAGGTAACTTATTCGATAGTTCCTATGGCAGCTATATGATATCGTTTGTCGATTTTAATAAAATTAATAGCGTAATTCTGAACTGTCAAATTATTAATAAGTCAAAAAGAATTTACAAAAAAAAATTACAAAATGAAAAAGTTCAAGTTATTAAAATTTTTTTTTATTTTTAATGTTACCATGGAAGATTTATGTTATAGTCTTCCGATTTTGATGAAATTTAAACCGTAAATTTTAAATATTTCACCATTACAACATGTCGAAGAACTAAAAATAAATTAAAAAACAGCAAAGTTCTAATTTTTTCATTTAGTTTTTCGATTGTTCTTATGGGAGCTATATGCAATAGTCGTCCAATCCGGTCGTTCCGACTTATGTACTACCTGCAATAAAAAGACAACTTTTGGGAAAGTTTCATGCAGATAGCTTTAAAACTGAATGACTAGATTGAATGCTAGATCGACTCTCCTTGTGATGCTGATCAAGAATAGGGTCGGAAACGTCTCCTTCACTGCGTTGCAAACTTCTGACTGAAATTATAATACCCTCTGCAAACAGACCGTTTTTTGTACGAGGAAACCCATGTAACCCCTTAAGGGGCCTTACCAGTGTAACTTTTTTTTAATTAATTTTTTTTTTGCTAATCGATTGTTTACAATTTCTAAAATATGCTGTGAAATCGGCAAGGTCGTGCCTAAAAACTTTTTGAATGGCAGCGTTCTAAAGAACGTCCGCTCGCAGGCATGTTCCGCTGCACCTGAAACTTTAACCGCGTTTATCTCGAAACGAAATTTTTGAAAACTGCTAACATCATAACTCGACTACAAGTTGACCTATCGGTTTCAAATTAACACTCAATCATCTTAAATGGGTGCTACCTACAATGACCTACAAACTTTTGGATTAATTAAAAATTGTCCATTTGGCAGAATTTAAAAAGTAATTTTTTCACCACAAAAAATAAAATGAACAGTTACATTATTATGTGCAAAAAATTCTGAAGATCGGGGTTTCACTGGTAAGGCCCCTTAAATACACCAAATAAAAGTCATACATCATAAACCGAAACCATTGAAACCAGATAGAATCAAAACTTAGTGAACAAAATTTTATACAAAAAAAATATTCACTGAAAAAAATGTAGCTTTTTGAACACCTCAATCATTGCCATTAGAAGAGGTTTCACCACCCTTTCCTACCAAGCATTATGATGCTTGCTTAATAATTATAAATCTCAAGCTAATTAATCTCAAACCATTTAACGGATGTCCAATTGGTAATCCATATCATCTGTGGCCCGTTCTCCACTGCCTCACGAGGGGTTGCATCACATTTTCAGCGATGCAGTCACTGCACATGGTGGCTCCTAGCTCCATTTCCCCCTGAGCAGCTCCCCCTCCTTAAGCCCTACCTTATTTAAGTATTCAGAGCAAGACAGCGCAAAACCACAAAACAAATTCACAATCCACTTACTTTTCGAGCTGCAAACGCGGATGGGGCAACGTCATTGAGGTAACGGTAAAAGTCAAGAATCCGACTCAAGAATGGAAATGTAAAATGGGGGTGGGGGGAGGAGGATATGCGTACACACTGACCGATACAACGAAAATTAGTTTAACATTATATCAACAAACTTTTAATATCACACAAACAATAATTAGTTGGTAAAATTACTTACTTTATATCAACCAACATTAACAGATTCAATAACACTCAAATTAAAATATCAGAGAAACAATAAATATTTAATTATTTTAATTATTCCAGGGAAATCTATGAAATATATAGACCATATAATCTTTATAGACCTATCGATTTTTGCTCCAAGTTCGATGGATTAATACAAATTAACAGAGGCGTTAATTATATATCAACCGAAGTTGAGGTTGGCCCAAGAAAGAGTTGAGTTTTAAAATGGCTAAAAAAAAGGCGAATGTTTTTCAAATATTCAACATTGCGGTTTATTTATGGAACTATTTTCATGGCATACAGAAATTTAAGCTTATTTTCATATTTGATTTTAATTCTTATCGCTTTTATAGTATTTTTGTTTTTTTTTTTCTCTGTAAGGCGATTGCAGAAGGGATCGCATCGGCATGGACAGCTCAAGGTCGAATAGCAACGGGTATCGCAAGTTGTACTTCTTGGATGACGAGCAGATGGCACGCCTGGGTGACGCTGGCCAGCGGATAAAGAGTTGAAGAGCTATATCTCTTCGTCATTCGAAGCCGATACCCCTGCCCCCCACCTCAATGCCCCCCCTCCTGAACCTGTTGTTTTTGTTTTTTGTTGTTTATTTCTCGACGACCTTGCGTTAACGGTAACGCGCGTAGAAAGTGTTTTGTTGTTGCTTAGCCAGTTGCTTTTTTTTCATCTCTCTGGCTTTCAGCTTGAAACTTGATGGTCAGTCAGCCTCTAAGCCATATTTATTTACTCATCCTCTTTCTCCAAAGCCACTAGTCCCATCTTTTTTTCTTCTCAAAAACCCATTGAACGCGAAGTTTTCAAGCACACACACATATATACATGCTGATAAGTTTGGGGATATTTAAGTTTTGGTTTTATTTCTGCGTTGATTGATCAACAAAAAAATGCGGAGACGAGAGGAGAGTCTGATCGGTGATTAATATCAACCGATGACGTTTTTGCTGACGCAGAGTTTGAGGCGGGGACAAATTACTTCTCCTCGGCTTTGCCTCTTTACCTTTATGCCCCTTCACCTTTATCCCCACATCGAAGATTTCGGCATTGTCAAGTTGTTTGTCATTGACCAAAAATACCGTAATCACCTTGGGGAAAATATGTTTTGAGTGTCGAGCATATTGGTTTAATAAATAATCTTGTCTCTAATTTGCCTCACTGTCATATTTTTTAAAAATTTAGTTAAACACTTATTTTAAACACTCTTAAGCTGATAAAATAAATATAAAAGCAAATTTAAGTTGTAAAAAGTATAAAATTTATTTAGAAAAAGTGAATTTATTGAATAAAAAACTAAACCATTTTTTAAAACTTTCAACTGTCTTTAAAACTGTTAACCAAATTTCGTACAGAGTTCTAAGCCAGAAACAATTTTCCAGGGCACCCCAGCCCCTCCCCATAACCCCGGATAACCCCTTGTGCGTTGACAACTTTTCCCGCATGTTGTGATTTATCTTGTTTCGCTTTATTGCCTTCACCTGGCCGAATCTCAAAACTGAAATTGAATTCCAACGAAAAGCGGCTGGGAAAAGGGGGTTTCCCCAGGTGCAGGAGGGCCTGGGCTAAGTACTCGTACTCGAACTGGTACTTTTAAGCCCCTCACTTCGTATGCACACTCATGTTGCGGCCAGCATATTCAAATGGACATTTTGCTGGCCATGTTGCCAGGCCTGGCATGCCAAGTGGTCAAAACCAGCACAAAATAAATGGAAAACAAAGCAAATTCGCAATGAGAAAAAAAGAGAAATGAGCCAACTTTAAAAGGCAGCCAAAGGGGGCGAGATGGCAGTGGATCGGTGGGTCTTGGTATCGGCGCAGAGTGCACAGAGACAAATTGTATTGATTATTATTTTTAGCTTTTAAGCAGCAGTTCAGGTTTGAGACAATCTATAAGAAAATTTTTATAACGCAGTAAAGAGTACGTATTTGTATTATTAACAAATAAATTATATTAAAATAATAATAAAAATATAAAAATAAATAATATTATT